GTGTGGAATGGGGTGAGGGCCCCTGTCCCTGGCACCTCAGGTGTCCCCCTCAATTTCCTGCCCTGGGGTGGGGGCTCGTGCTTCCCTCTCATCCAGGAATGTCCCCCTCCTCTCCCAGAGCTGCGGCACCGAGCGTCACCCTGGCAGAGGAACCTGGGCTACCCCCTGGCCATGCTGGGCCTCCTGGCACTGACAGTGAGTGTCCCTGGGCTCCCGGGGGAGTTGGGGCTCATCCCTGTCCCCCCCTGCCCCCATCCACCCTCACTCCCTCCCTGCTCCTCCCAGGGCATCTCCGTGCTCATCGTCTGCTTCCACGTCCTGGAGCTGCTGCTGGATGACGCAGCGATGCCACGGGGCATCCAGGTATCAGGGGGGACACACACATGACAGGGGACATCGAGGTGCCGTGTCCCACGCTGGCCTGGGGACCACTCCCCTCAATGTGCCTCCACCTCTCCCGGCAGGATGCATCCCTGGGCCAGGTCTCCTTCTCCATCTTCGGATCCTTCGGAGCTGCCCTGCAGGTCGTCCTCATCTTGTATCCTTCAGGTGGACACTCGTGTCCCCAGCGCTGTCCCCAGGGCCACCCCACCCTGTTCTCCTTAACGCCCCTCGCAGCTACCTGATGGTCTCCTCCGTCGTGGGCTTCTACAGCTCCCCCCTCTTCACCCGGCTGCTCCCCGAGCGCCAGGACACCCCCCTCACCAAGGTGGGTGTGCTGGGGGGCTCCCAGCCCCCCCTTGGGGTACAGGACTCCCCTCCCCAGTTCCCACCACGCACGGTTGTGTGTGCGTGTCACCGCGTGTCCCCCCGCCTCCGGCACAGCCCTGGGAGCGGGCAGGGGAGCCCCTTCCCCACTCCCCACCAGCCCGTGGGGCAAACAAACCCTCCTTCTTCCCCCCCCCTTCCCCCCCAGATCATCGGGAATTGCGTCTCCTTGCTGGTGCTCAGCTCGGCCCTGCCCGTCTTCTCCAGGACGCTGGGTGAGGACCAGGGTGACCACAGGATTGGGGTGTCCCCAAGACCAGGGGTACCCTGACTTTCCACCCTTCCCCAGGAATCACCCGTTTCGATCTCCTGGGGGATTTTGGTCGCTTCAACTGGCTGGGGAACTTCTACATCGTCTTCCTCTACAACATGGGCTTCGCGGGGC